ATGGAGATTTCTGTATTTTTAAAAAACATCCCTTTGTCCATAACTCTTGAAGGGGTAGGGCGGGATTTCATAGTTTACGTATGTAATCCTTATGAGAAGATCTTTCGCACGCACAATCGTGAAAAATAGAATGTTACACACAGATACACTGTGACTGATAAAGATGGGTGGAAAACATACATTATCTTCAAGTAAATCAAGTAAAATTCAATGTAAAAACAGAGAAAATGATAACTTGTACAGACAAACATGTACATTATGCTTTCTTTGTGCAGATTATAGAAAGAAGAAATGGATGTATCCTATCAAGTTTTAAACAGAATTGGTGAGAACCAAGACGATGGATGCGGACTGGTAAGGATGCAAATGAAGCTCTTAACGGTTTTTTACCCCCAAGCCACCAGTTTTTATTTAAATCTAACATTGGGTCTGCACTTTGCTATTTACATGATGCTGGTTTATTTTCCAGCGTTTTCAGAATCAATCCTCATTTATGAAAAATTGTATTTCTCTACAACGACGAAAATAATGATAAATATGTATCGGGGTCGTATCACGTCGACTTGACATGCGCGGATCATAAGATCAAACGATACTCGAAGCGTCGAGTTTAATCTGATGATTCCTGTCTGTCAACGAGACGTGATACGGCTCTTCGGATCAAGTAACCGTTATAATGATAAATTTATTATATACCCCTTTATGACTAGCGAAATATAGCAATGAAATCTTAAGAGATCTTTTCGGTCTAACGGCCTCAAGCGGACAGTTTGGTTCTTGGGTCCAACAAAACGCCTGTTGCCTTCGAACCCTTTCTGAAAGGTGTTTTTTTCAAGTTTCGGAAATGAAACAAGTCAAAGATTGAAAGATCTGGCGAATATTGTTATTGTGACAAAACCACCTTTCTGTTTATCGCCTCTGTTTAACTTTACTTTCATAGCCTGTGGGCTTGGACGCCGTCATGAAGAAATTTCATGTAGTGAATTCTTATTCTGGTTCCTTCCTATCATAAATCTTTCGATGTTTTGCAAAAAGGTTGCTTTCGAGACTCCTCCAGAAATTGAACTTCCTCCCCGAATAAGAATTTGAACAATATGGCCATTAATATTATAGAAAATAGCATATAAAGCTGTTTTTGTGTTTTTGCAATTCCTTGCTTTTTCAGGCCTTTTCTGTTTTCTTCAAGTGCATCTTATTGTAAATTTGTGTTGAACGTTTAAAGCAAAATGGATTCAAGTTTCATAATATGTTTGAATTTCAGACAGACATGGATAAGTACAGTTTTTGATCTTTTTTTACATAATTGTTTATATATTCCTTCACGCTGTCGTTTTCACTCATTTTTTTCAAAATATAGGTGGACATTTGAGTATTAAACTTTTTTTACTATTTAATGTTTCTTTAAACAATGTGAACTACTCCCAAAATGATGCCCATCAAATTCTAAAGTCAATCAAACATAATAAGTATTTTTTTGTTGAATTTTCGCAAATAAACTACTTGTAGTACATTGGTTGTTGTCTACAAGGACGGTTTCCATATTTGATGCCCATTATAACATATTTGTTCATTGAAATCCACCTGCTCATGTGTGTATACAACAGACATTAGATGCATCTCGAGATGCTGTTTAATTTCACTATAGTTTACTGATTCTTTACTATTCATTTTTAAAGTGCCTCGAATAGCCCTTGTTCTCCAGCTTCCCACAAAGAAACTATGTGATGAAAAGTCACATAAACAGTTATCAATTCATCAAAGAATTAATAATGAGAGAAAGTCAAGCTTAACATCATATGATTAATGATGATATTTGCTCTAGAGCCAGGAATGACTACTCTTAAAATTATCATTCAATTTTTAAAAAGTATCTAATTGAAGTTTGAAATTATAATCCTCTTTTCAACAATTTTCATTTCATGCAACAAAATATGTTTTCCAAAATATCTGACGTTTTCCTGGCTTTTTTACGATTTTGATATATTACGTGCAAGGAAAACGTCAGAACCGGCGCCATTACGAAAATTGGGAAATCCCCACCCTACTCCCGGGGGTCATGATTTTAACAGATCTAAATCTACACTATCTGAGGATGATTCCACATGAGTTTCATCTTTCCTGGCCCAGTGGTTCTTGAGAAGAAGGTTTTAAAGATTTTTCCGTTATATTCCTATGTAAAACTTTGATCAGCCATTGTGGCCCCACCCTACCCCCATGGGTCATGATTTGTACAAACTAGAATCTACACTAGCTGAGGATGATTTCACGGATCTAGCTAAGTTATCTTGGATCTCCAGCTATGTAAATTTAACGAATTCCTTATACGGATATAACGAATTACTATTATAGCGAAGTAATTTCATAGGCCCCAGTCACTTCGCTATAACCGAGTTTTACTTATCGTTTTTACGGTTCTTTCATAAAATATACAATCCAATGAAAACATTTAATTAGAATCTCGAGATTTGCCTAGCTTCAGTTCTTGCATTGTAAAATCTTGCGCAAGTCCTGAAATGTAATGTGGAGTGATATTTTCTTTTCATAGATATTTATGGGTACTAGAGTCATTTTGCTGCTGATAAATACTGATTTCGGCGTTTAGTAAGGTTCGCAAGCATCAAAAATAAACTCCGGTTGGAGACGGCGAAATTTCCACTTCTCGCAATAGCACCGGTTCTGACGTTTCACTGACATATCAAATTCCCAAATTAGCCAGGAAAACGTCAGATATTTCAGGATTACAAAATATGATTTAAGGTTCTTTGAAGTCTTGGAAGGATTTTGTAAAAAATGACATTTGTTTCCTTTAAAAGTACGACATATACACGTAACTACCATTTTCGAATTTCCTTTAATCTAGTCTAGGTTACCTATGCTTATTAGTATGAAATATGTGATGTCTTGCTTTGATGTTATACGATTTTTACACTTTGCATTATTTTATATATTATTTGATGTATATAAAGGATCTAAAAACCGTAAAAGTATTGAAAAACACATACAATTTTAACTGAATGTCTGGATGCATATCGTTCTGTACACCATATTAAACTAGTTGATAAAGGATGTATTCGCTTTAACAAAAGAATTGACCTATAGGAGAGAACAATTTCCCGGAAAAAATGACATTTAAAAATCAATCTTTATTTGTTGTTTTCTACCGTATATATGTCTAAATTTTTTTAATTTGTATTTTATACTTAAAAATTATTATTTACAACTTTACAATAAACCTCCAAAGTTGACCGAAACACCATTTTGTTAGTTAAAGCGTTGATTTTTGCATGAATTTTGGCCTTGAAGTCCATCAGGGCAGGCCTGCCCCTAAATAAAATTGTGATATTTTGATAGGTTAAGATGTAAGGAATAATTTAAGATAAGATTTTTTTAGGGGCAACCCTGCCCTGAGGTCGAAATTCACAAAAAACCTATAAAAAAATAAGGAAACCAGATTTTCATAATCTGCTTTAAATTTATGCCTTTCATTATTATAGTCAGACTAGCTCAGTTGATATATGAGCTGACTTTTATACCTTGGATACTCTCTTTTTAAAGTCGGGGGTTCGAATGCACTTGGTACAACACTTATAAAGTTTTTAATTTCGCCTTTTCAAAGACTATTTTAATTTTTTTTTATAGACTTGGATAATTTTTCTTCAAATTCCTTATGCATGCCCATTCTTGATATAAGAAACACTAAAGAGATATCAAATCGTAACAATCCAATGTACAGTTGTCAGTCAGGTGGAACGAACCTTAGTATAAGCACACTTTCTCCGAGGACAAGAATAACTCACTGTGTGTTACTCAATATGGGTATTCTTGGCAGCATTGAGCTGCGATGAATTTCAATTGTATATATTCCTTAGAATTTAATCACATTGATTTTTGCTACAGTAAATGCACTCCCTTGGATTTCATTTAAGCCTTTATAATTTGCACACATTAATGACAAGTTTTTATTATATCCACGGATAAATAGCCAAGACATAAAGAAAGACAAATATCAATTATTACATTTGGAGGTAACAAATCAGAAAATCAATAAAAAGGGTTCCTCTTATCTCTACTCACTGTAATAAAGATTTAGGAAAAACAAATTGTTATATGTATACAGCCTAATGTCATTAATCAGAACGGAAATCGACAAGCTTTTTGTAGAGAATAAAACCAAGCCCGGTCCTATAGGTCAGATGCCTATTTATAATGAAGTGATCCTTTTCAATTAAAAAATGCATATTTGGTGCTTTTATCCACTTTTTCTTGAAATGTATTTAGATACTATAATTTATCTTATAATATAAAATTACAATTTTGATTTTTGGGACATTTTTGCGAACATGTTCAATTAATTCACTGATGATTTTCAGAACCTGAGGATATGGCTACCTTAAGAAATGAATTCTGAAATCTAATTTCCAGGTTTGAGCCATTGTACCTCATTTTAAGACATAATTCTATTCTTTAAAGATCTTTTGTCGATGTATTGTCGTCGTCGACAGTTTGACTCAACAACTCTGCACATATTGTCATCAGGCGGTACACATTGTCACCGGCAACAAAATATGCCGAGAAAAGCCTTATTTCCCCTCATGATTTTTAATTTAGAGTTTGACAGTGCATATATTCGTCTTGTACATATTGTCGTCTGCGACAATGTGAGCTACCTTCACTGCATATACTGTAAACAAACTTTTATTCGCGTGCGAGAAATTTTCGCGAAGTTCGCGAGAGCCTCGTCATCGCGAATATTTCTCGTCGCGAACCGGTTATTATAGTAATTTTGTCTATTAAAAACATGCAAAGAGGCTTGATCGCGAAAATTCATCGTCGCGAATTAGTTTATCACTGGTAACTCGCAAAATAAAGTCGTCGCGAATAAAAGTTGGTTTACAGTATTCTCGTCCATCAGTAAACATTGTCCTCGGCTGAATAATTACACATTTACATACACTTGCATAAACATGTCACTGGCGACATTATGTAACCTATGTTACGGTACATATTTTCGTCGGCGACAATATGTACCAACCCTCACTGCACATATTGTCGACCATAAGTATAAATTGTGGACGCCGTCAATATGTACCTGGACAAACCCTTCTTTCCCTCCTTTAATAGGGACGACAAATTGAACAGTCACCCATTGGCACATTTTGTCGTTTGCGACAATATGTACTGTGAACATTTGCACATTTTGTCGCCGATAGGTTGTGTTGAATATTTAATATTGTTTCAAATTCTCCTTTTCAAGAACTACTGGGTTGGAGGAAATGGTACTTATGTGCACGCTTTATTACATAGTGTACATAAATTTCATGTGTAGGTGCTGGCAAAAAAAGGATTTCAAGTTTCAAGATAACCCTTTGTTCCGAGTATAAGTCTAAATTCGTAGTTCTCAACCGGCAACTGTTGGCGTCTCTGTATGAGTGAAATATTTCTTAGGGAATGTTAAATGAACAAATGGAAAACAAACAAAATACTCAATTTTGTTTAAAACCTTTTTGAGATATAATGGGCAATTTAAGACAATTTTAAGGCTTAGGATAAAAAGCCCTAAACCCGATTATAAAAATGAAAGATGTTTTTCTGATGAATCTGGCACGCGTTTTGATTATGCCCCCCTCTTACCGTATAAACTACTTTAAATATTCAAAATTAATTCGGTATGAGCATTTTAAATAGCAAAATATTGACTTACTTTATGTATTTATTTCTGGATAAGAATATTTAGCTGTGAAAATGCTAAACTTTTACTAGCTTTAGGTTTATGCTCCCCGCCCCTCCCCCACAGGTCCATCGACCATACACTTACCAGGGTGTCACTCATTTGGGGATTGTATCAAGACAATTTGTCTTTATTTACCTCAACACTATGTTTCCTTGGCCCTACACACGCCCCTAAAATGATAAGGTATCATAACTTGATTGACTTGAATTAAAAGGAAAGTGTACATTCGATATTATGTATCTTAATATTAAGAATATTTAACTGATAATTCGCTGGTTAACTGCTCGATTTTAAAACTTTCTTAAATCAATCAATCTATGTAGTTACTTAGTATTTTATATTATTTTGTCACGAAAAAAAATCATGGGATTGGGTAAGTTTTTGTCTTTATCTGTGTATTCGATTTACATACTTATCCATTTTCCAGTTTATGCTTTGACTATGTTTTTTTGAACTGTATTATTATGCATTTATTTTATGTAAATATTCTAATACAGTTTTATGCATTTGAAGATTGGAAAAAACTCAGTACTGGCGAATTCACAGCAGGAAAACAGAGAACAAATAGGTGGAATCCGAAAGAAATATAAAAAGACTTTGCTGGTCACTACGTATACCCTACTATTGGTTCTGTTGGTTGGATTCATTACATTTGCTGTATTATTCGGCACTGAGAAAGACTTTGCTAACGGTAATTTGTTTAGAATCAAGCAATATTATCCTAATCGTATTGAAAAAACAACGTACATATGTAGTTATCAAATTAGCTCTTCACCAAATACATATATTCAAATAGGTAGCGGAAGATCAAATGCATCAAATTAGGCGAAATTAGCGAGGTTCGCTTCTTATCTTATCATAAGATTTTTGCTTTGACCACTATTTAAAAAATTCTACATAGTATTTTAGTTCTTACCATTAATTTGGATAATGCTTATTAAACTATATTCAATCAAGACCCCATGATTAAATTCCATATCAAAAACATTTAGTGACGAACTTTATTTTTGGCGGAAGGAGTGTTTAGGAGAAAAAGATCAATTTTTTCCTCTTTTAAAGTAGTCAATTCTGTTAAGGATTTCTATATTTACATGCAGGCTGCACACAAAACAATTTTGTGCAGGTCCTTAATTATATATTTAATTAACTAATATAAAAGCTATCATCATATTTAGCAAATGTGTCAAATATATCATGAAACTCTTTGAAAAAAGGCTTTAGTTAAGCTTAAAATAAGAATTTATGTAGTAAAATCAAAAAAATAACATCACAGAACAACTTTTATTTCATTTTATAGAAAAGATAGTTTTAACCCTTAGCATAAATTCAGAAAAATATCCATACTTTCAAATGATTTAACTAAGTAATTAAGAATAGAATTTTAATGTGTGAATGTGCAAGGATGTTAATCAAACCTATCCAAAAATTTAAAGTTTCAATAGGTTTTAAATGAATTAAGATTTTTAATTTATTTTCGTGTGAAATGCTATTACAATATATGAGTTGTGATATTATACAGAAAACATTAACTTCAAATCTGTGTTATGCACATTTAAGCCAATAATTCATTTGGATTTGCAATTTTAAAATAAATACTTTAAAAAAATGAAATGTGTGTTAGACGTAATTACAGTAAAAAAGGTCATATATAAAATGCTCGATCCGTATTGCTAGAAGATGCGCACAGATCCCCATTTTTGTTTTGATTTTTTTTTATTAGATTCTAAATATATTCTAAAAATATACGTTATGAAAATAAATCTCAATACTTTTGATAACAGAAATCAGCCTCCTTATAAATATTGTTTGTTTACCCTTTCCCGACTCAGGATTAAAAAATGGACGGTAGGTAGGTGTGAAATTTTTTGTTTGGAAAACTTCAACATCTGTTTTCCGAAATGAATTAAAAATTGTTTCTAACATGGAGGTTATAATGCCTCGGTCGGGAGAAGGCAAACAAATATATATATATTTTAAAAAAAGATGACTTTTGCATTTATTATAAAATATTGATATTAAATGATTTTAAGACAGTAGATCTATTTCTTCCTTCCATGGGGATTTTAACAAAAGGTTATTCCTTTTCCTTCAGATCTATTGTTTAAATTTTTATAGATTTACAAAGACAAGTGGACTGTATAAAGAAAGATTGGAAATGTTTGAATAGTAAGTCATAAACATACAGAAAAGTAAAAGGATCAAATCAAAAGGATCCAATGGTATCATAAATTTTTATATCATTATTTCAAGGTTTTTTTTAATCTTCCATAATATCAATATTCTACTGAAGCATATTGCTGCCAGTTGATTATATGTTTTGCTGTGTCTTACGTACAAGATGAGTCGTTCATTATAAAACATATTTTTAATCATGAAAATGTTATATATATATTAATTTTTTTTAAATATATATATAGTACAAAATACTATGTTTTCATTACGATATTAAATGTGATATGTAAAAAACTAGATACAAAATCCTACTTAGTCAGACGTACGACATAATAGAGGGTTTTGGCAAGCTTGTTCGTGTATATGTACGTGTAAATTACAAGCTAGAATTACATGTTTATATTATTTTTATTGTTAAGCAAATGATATCCCATAAGGTACTTGCAATTGTTTTAAATTCAAAAGTGTTCAGCATAGAATTTTGTTTAAAAAACCTGAATCTTAATATGTATATCTTAGTTTATATAAATATATGCATATATATGCATATTCGAGGGTTGATCCAAAAGTAATGTCACTGTGTCAATATCTTATACTGGTATATTATTAAATATAATATACCAAAAGATGCACAAAAATAAACATATTGGACAAGTAGCAAATTTATCGAAGTTGTGGCATTACTTAAGGAATCACTGTCTAGTTTTGAGAGTATGCCAGGGCATCAACAAAAGAGGGCAACATGGGATAATCTGCATAACGGGCAAAGCCCGTTATGCTAAAATTATCCCATGTTTCCCACTATTGTTGATGTCCCTGGCATACTCTCATAACTAGACAGTAATTCCTCATATTTCCATTTCATTGTGAAATAAAATTGTAGACATAGACATTAAAAATGTAGACTAATAGATTTAAATTACACGAGGACTTCTATGCCAATTTCAATAGCCGTCGCACACTGACGTCAAACAAAAAGGCAGCCGCACGAGATTTACATGCATATTTGACTTCCTTAGCGTCAGATACAGAGACAGATGCGCACGAGATTTGCATGCGTATTAGGCCTCCTTAGCTGCTGACCTATCGACCTGCCTAATTTACATTCCGGTGTAACGACAAAAATGACCCCCTACCCGTAGAAAAAAAAATAATTTTTTGTAGAAAAAATTTTCTTAGGGGACATTATTTTATATGTAAGTCCTATAGAAAATTGACCCCCATTGAAAAATGACCCCCCTTTAAAGTGAAAAGAGCTTCTTTAATAGTCAAATAATAAAATTTCTTTTTAATTTCCCCCTTATAGTGTTTGCTTAAAGAATAATATTCCACTTGTTTTTAGAAACCAAACCATGCAACAATCAGATTCCAATACTCTTTAATAGAAAAAAATAATTTTTTCCTCTTTTCAACTCTTAGCCTGTATAAATTTGGCAAATCCTTTTTCACAATGAAAGAGGAGGAAATTTTTACCCCCCCCCCCAAAAAAAAAAATTACGTTCAATCAAAACAAAAAAAAATAAATAAATGAAAAGCAAAAATATAAATAAAACTCTATACCTTTCAATAATACTGAAAGAGGTTCTAGATAAAATATTGAAATGAAGTTAAGCCTTCACACAAGTTCTATCATATCATAATTCGCCATGATTAAAGCATACTTTAAATGTTGATGGTGGTATACTTGAAAGTACTGTGGCAAAGTAACTGTTAAAAATTCGTAGAAAAGTAGATTATTTTAAGCTTATTTTTAGTCCCTCCTTATAGAAAAATAAAGGTAGGGTAGTTTTTTGTTGTTGCTTTTGTTGATAATCAACTTCCTCCTAAATTAGTAAGGGGGCGGGTGGGTATAACACCTAAAAACATGCTCTGTAAAGCTATGGGCTAGTTTAAAATACACATTCTAATGCCAAAAATATGCATGTAGACATATCCTTTTGATTTAGCACACAGTATTCATTACATTTCTTAATTCTTGTTTTACTCCACCCTTTTACCCAGTTCTGAGTATATTTTTCAGAGAATTTAATACGAAAATCAGAACAAACATTTTCATTTTTGTAACGTCTTCTTTATACTGTATCATAATATGAAAAGTTGATTGAAGACCATTTCTTTTTATGTCCCTGTAATCGAAGATTCGGGGGTATATAATTTTATCGTGTCCGTCTGTATGTCTTTCTGTCTATCTGGCGGTCTGTTTCTCCGCAAAAACTTCAACCTTGACCATAACTTTTCATTTATTGTAGCTATGTCTTTCATATTCAATATGTGTATATTCCTTGTGACAAGACCTTACTTTGGGTACCACCAAATTTGACCTTTTGACCTTTACCTTGGAGTTTGTCCCATTTTACAAAAAAATGTCAAATTTTTAATTTACTTTGGCTACAACTTTTAACTGTAGATACTAGTACTCTCATACTTCACAAATGTAATCTTTGTTACATTGAACCTTTCTTACGAAACCATCAACTTTGACCTTTGGCCTTTGAGTTTGACCTACCTTTCAAACACTTATCCTTAGCCATTAATTTTGAACAAGTGGTGCTAGGGCTTTCTTATTTTTCAGTTGTATTTCTTGTGAGAAGACCCTACTTTGGGTACTATTATATTTATACCCCCCGCTTGAAAAGCGGGAGGGCACATAGTAATCGGTAATTCCGTCCGTCTGTACGTCTGTCCGTCCGTCCGTCTGCTGTCTGTCCGTCCGCATGTTACGCTTTGGGGTACCCATCTCTTATCCGCAACTCCTCTCATACCACTGAATGAAATTTGATGCAACTTTCACAGAATCTTTATTACATATTGCCATTGTGCACCTCCTATTTTACTTTTTGATCCGACACATAGTTTGGGTTTCCCGGCCACAGAAAATCATGGACTTTTTCACCAGTTATAACCATATGGGAGGCGGGGGGTATCATTTAGTGAGCTCATCGCTCACAGTACTTCTAGTTAAATTGCATTTTAAAAAGTTTTATCTTCGCTATGTTGCCATAAAGGGGCAAAGCTGTTTCACAAAAAAAAAAATTATATATAAGAGGAGTTGCGGATAACAGGTGGATACCCCCAAGCGTAACAGACGGACGGACGGACGTCCCGATCACTATATACCCTCCCGCTTTTCAAGCGGAGGATATAATAATATGTTATACTGCTGATTTTTTCTGTCAGTACGATGACTTCCACCATCGAAAAACAATGTTTACCTAACCCTTTAAGGCTCGATAAATCTTTACTCCTTTACATTCTGAATCATCGCATTGACCTTAAGGTTTCGTCAAAGGTCAACATGTCCAATTTTTTTTTACAATAGCCCTAAAACTATGTGAGGTATAAAGTTTTTCATTGATTACCAGATAGAAAGTATCACTTGATAAAAAAATGAACTTGGAAAAAATACTAATTAAGATAAACTCTTCTTAAAAATGCATATATTTTCCAAAAATACACATAATTAATTCCGTGCTCTTGGTGAAAACTATCATTGCAGAAACAAAATATGTTTATCAATGAAGGGCAAGTTGGACTTGGACAGCCTCTGGAAAGTTGTTTTCCCTGTTTAATTTGTCCAAATGTTAAGACTTGAAAGTGAAAGTACATTGCAAATGGCAGATTTTAAAGGGGTCTTGTCTTTATATATACATGTATCATGCTTTCAATAACAGCCTTTCAGAGACTATTCATGTCCAACTTGCCCTTCAATGATAAACATATCTTATTTCTGCAATGTTGGTTTTCACAAAAAGGACAGAATTAAGTAGATGCATTTTCTTTATATGTGCACATTTTCTGATACAAGTTTTCTAAAAAAAAAATATCTTTTAAAAATATTTGTTATCAAGTGATATTTTCTATCTATTAATCAATGATATATTTATAAACATTAAAAGTTTTGACTTTTTACCACAAATAATTTTGAGGCTATGTAAAAATATTTTTTAGACATGTTGACCTTTGACGAATCATTTAAATATAGCTATAATCGTATGTTATGAGATCAACATATCAATTTATTCCAAATCAGCTCAGGTGAGCATTTTGGCCAATATGCTTCTTTATCTATTCTCCTTTTTTTTTGCACCTTAAAAATTTCAGCTTTAATCCACAGGGAGTCATTTTTCTACGGGGGTCATTTTTCTTCACGTGGGTCTTGCAAATTTTTAGGCTGGTATCACTTTTTCTACGGACAATAGAGTCTTTTTTGTACGTCCAATAATGACCAGGGGTCATTTTTCGCTGTCGAAAAATGACCCCCGGTCATTATTCGATGGGGGTCATTATTCTTCTTACACCGGCAGAATTATCAAGAAATAAATTTCCCCAATTTTCAAACAGTTATCACAGAGAAAAAATTAGAAATGGAAATATTTTTGGATCATCCCTCGTACTAGTATTTATTAGAACTAGCTTGAAAAGAGATCAATAACTAAGTTGAAGTTATAATTTGAATCCGTCAGAGCCAGTTTTGAAATTCTAGATGTTGTATATTCTTCACTATATTATATAATGTTTTTCAATTTTAGACATTTTATTGTCTATATCAGTATTTTTAACTTTAGATTTTAGAAAAAAGCACGCTTAAAAAATAAACAGCAGTTAAAGAAATAAAAGCTACAAGTTTGGACTTAAGCGTACTTGACAATCTACACGTAAGTGGATATGTGTTGAAATTCGTCATTTTCAAAAATTGTAATTCTAATTTGTAGTTTACACTTACAAATAACCTTGCCAAACCTCTCTACATGTACATACGACTTACCATGTTATTATGACGACTAACTATGTCATACGTACGACTTAGTATCTCGTAATCGCGACTTAGCTGGTACAACTTAGTACTTTGTTATTACGACTTCGTGTCTTGTTCTTATTAACCACTTACTGTATTTTGTTTATATGACTTAATATTTTGTAACTCGAACAACAAGTCAAAAATATATTTTTTACTGGCAGCAATACGCTTCCGCAATATTCCAAGACTAATTCCAGATGTAATAAACAACACACAATAAATTTTGCTGGAAAAGATCTTGGAAAAATGCCTTTATCAAAGCAAATGGACTTTTTTAGACACACCTGTGGACTGCAGAGACCTCTATGATAAAGGTGTCATAGTGTCTGGTGTTTATATCATTTGTCCATGGAAAAGAGAGGAGACAAACTTACATTGTGTACAAGTCTACTGTGATATGGCTACAGATGGCGGGGGATGGACAGTAAGGATGACTGAGTCAATGATTAATCGTTGTTCAACGTCTTTTTCGAGATTTTGTTCCTTATTTTTCACTCACCAGATGTCGATGAAGGTCTTTAAATTCAACCCTGTACTCAGCACTTCGGCCATTGAAGTGTTATGTTTTGAGAATGCAAACATACAGGTTACAGGTTCAGTGAAGTTTGAACAGAGGATTGTTACCAATACATGTTGTAATGAAATTAATTATTATTTATAAAGCACATTTTACAACAACTCTTTAACTAACATAACTGCCCTAAGTGAAGAAATATTAATATAGAAAGCACAAAGAAATTCACTTTTACATGGATACCCACTTCCCACTAATGTCCAAATAACTGTATCCCACTTCTATTCTCAATGACCGTGTAGTGTAGGGCAGCATTGTGAGAATTCCATCGGCATCGAAAGCAAGTTTTTTGACTTGCCTAGCGGTCTAGCGCGCTGTTCCTGCACTGCTAGGAGACAGATTCCGAAGGTCGAGAGTTCAACTCCGGGTTGGGGCGGCAGTGGGTATCCATGTAAAAGTGAATTTCTTTGTGCTTTATGTATATATATATATATATATATATATATATATATATATATTTCCAACCCATGTTATACCAGTACAACTTGAGTAGCTATTAAATTCAAAGCCACAATTTTTCTATATAATGGATTTAAATTGAGCATTCTTCATACGTAAGGTCGAACGGAGTAATATATTTTGATGAAGGCTAGTTATGTACAATATGAACTAAATCTTTATGACTAAATCTTTTATCTAATTAAATGACGTGTAACAACGAAATTTGAATTATTCAAATAGATCGGTGATGTTTTATTAATTTCAATAGTTATCTAATTTTTTTTTTACCTTTTACATTTATAATCTCTCAATTTGAAGATCAATGTTTTTACATTACAAAATATCTACGAAGGTGATACAAAGAAGACAGTCCGGTGATGTGAGCTTTGAACGAAATTGGGAAGAATATAAGATGGGCTTTGGAGATGTTTCTACAAGCTACTGGATTGGTAAAAAACAATTAAATCAATAATAAATCAGACAGCTACCATGAACAAAAATAGCAATTTATGTTCAAAGAATATAAATACAATTTTGAATGTACAAAAACGCGGACAATATTACTCTTATCATTTGCCAATTTAAGTATCTTTAAACGTTGTACGATTTCAATCTCAATGAAAATTTCGTGTCTTAGAATTGTTGTAATTTAACATAAGCTATCCGGATGCAGAAAACAAAACAAAACAAATATTAAAAAAAAAAAAAAGAAAAAAAAAAAGAAACCTGGCATCCGGATCTTTAATGCATTTAGTGGCTGATTTTTTATCCCAAAAAGACTCTCAGAGAAAAAAGTAAAAAAAAAGTTGTTTAAATCTAGTTTTATCGGTTGAGCGCAGTAAAAGTGTGCCTTTATTCTATGCGCTTCGTTTTTAACTCATTGAAGTATCTTAAATTGTCAGACATACGAGAAAACGAATGTAAAAAAAAACAGATAGAAAACTAGGGTAAAATGCATCACAAACTTTGTTGGCAGAGAAGTCCTTCCCAGAGCGATTTGATCTAATTAAAGATGCATAAAAAAATTATTTGGTCTTATTATAGATGAATAAAAATGCCTTTTTTACAATTGATAAATATAGCACACATTTAAACTTTAAATTTGACGTGGTAGGATGCAAAGAATCGTCAAAGACAGTTTCTTTGAAATTTTGATTACGTTATTCGTACATTTTCACTTATTTTTCATCGTCAATATTATTCATTAAATGATAAAATTCATTGTTTGAAAGTAACAACTTCTCGACCAAAATATTTCATTTTACAGGAAATGACATCATACACCAATTAACAAAAGAAAGAAGTAGTTCTCTGTACATGGAAATTACTCTCTTCAACGAAACAGTCCTATATATAAAATACGAATTTTTCTTTATCACCGATGAAAAGACTGATTATAGACTGAATATTAGTGGAAAAGCAAATGGAACTTTGGGTTTGTAATATATTTCTTCATCTGAAATACAACCACATTTTAATGACAATTTCCAATGTGCATGGTTAATTTCATTTTCTTCGAACAACTTTTTTTTTATTTCGAAAGTTTTGGTTTATGTAACTTGAATAAGAAAACATATTTCGTCACCCGCCACATTTCCATTCGATTGCCATAATCCAAAGCTGAAATGATTTATACTGCTGGACTCTATGTAAACTAAAATAATTTTAGGTTTATTTCACAAAAGAGTTGGAATTTATATAAACAAAAAGTTTCAAAATGATTTATTGTCAATTAAAAAAAACCCACTTCAACTCAGAAAAAAATGTCTTTTTCCTGTTGTTTATAAAGTGAGGCATTTTCCCACTCATATGAATGTTTACATTCTTAAATTTCTTAAACGTTTAAATTACCTTTTCATTTATTTTTAGGCATAAATTCTGTTAGAGTGCATCAAAGTAATCATAAATGTTATTAAGACTAAGATGAGAATTACAAGAAATGCATGTTTTTTAAAATCAGTACTCTGAACGTTCAGAATACGCCACCATTTTATCATAAAATGTTAGGTGAAGTCACAAAATGCTGAATAAGACACTACTCTATGTTGTCGTTGAAGAATGTATTATCAACGGTATGCAATTTTGATCTTTTTTAGATAAATGTGCATGGGTATATATTGGTAGAAAAATCTACATGTTTCAAATGCAACGTAGAGTAGTGTGTACAAGAAAAAAAGTAGTAGAAAAAAAACAATACTAGAGTATTCCATATATTAACTTCACCTAACATTTTTGATTTTAATAAACAACGATTATTCAGAGAATATTATTATTCGTTCTAAATAGGCCATTACTGTTAAATTATGTAGTTAGGAATTGAATAAAAGACATTAAAGGCTGTATGACGACATCGTTTTCATTTCCGAACTTCCGTCGTTGAAAATTGAAAAAAAAATCCAGATTACAATTTGTAACCTCCAAGTTTCCAAGTTTCGCTATCTGTAGGAGGTTCAAATGTAAAAAAAATCCTGTGATAGGTTTGTCTTACATTTTTCTACGTTTTCACATATCCAAGCTGACTTAAAATTAGTGGAACTATGGTTCTCCGGATTGAAATTGTACGGTAATTAATAATTTTGTGTTTGAAGTGTTATTTACTATCAAACCACCATGTCGTTACCCTCACTACCCTGTTTTTCCATCATGATAAATACATCAACATTGAAAACAGCTCATTAATATGATTGGTTTTTTTTAAAGTTATCTATCGAAAAAATTACTAATTATAAGCACACTTTGTAAATAGAGTGACGTGCTTCACCTACTTTTTATGGTGACAACACAGAATAAATGTATGTGTAATTTGCTTTATCAGTGATAATGATTTCTCAGACATGAATCGTGGTTTTCTTACTTTTTCCTGAGTGTATTGAAATAATTATTAAGCAAGCCTAAGAATTAAGAATATAAAATGATTTAACAACTAAACATTATCAATCTTCTTGTATGCATTATAAGAGCTTCTTATGAAAAAGTTATGTATTTTGATACGGTTAACCATCTTACGGCTAGCCGACTAGCAGTTCTGTATTCGATTGCCATCCCTACTAAGTAATATTAAAATATCCCCATTTATTACTCGTTATGTCTTATACTGTTCTACTCCAAACAAATATTTTCGTTTGAAATGAAACTTCTTTTGATATGAAGTGTCGCTATCAATGTCAAAAGTATTGATCATTTCACTTCCAGAAGACAGGATAAGGAATGTTCCACCAACAGACATGATCAATGGGGCAAGATTTAGTACTTATGACAGGGATAACGACCAAGCCAACACGTTGAGTTGTGCTGCTAAACACCAGGGAGGATGGTGGAACAATTATTGCCATGATGTGTACCTTAATGGTCCGTATGGCTCTGCTGAGTGGCCTCAACCTTGGTTTCCACTCTTATCTGATGGATCTAACATTACCAATACAAGAATGATGATCAGGAATGAAAAAAAGTCATAATATAAAGTTTGTCAGCGAGGATTCCCTCAAAAGCACTGTCTATGCATGCGATTTATTCTTAATTGATGTGAATCTTCCAGAATGTTAAAAAGTTCAATTTACTTACGTACTAAGTAAACCATTTTGTGAAAAAAGAATAGAAAACAACTAGACTTCACTTATGATAAATTACGGGGAAACAACAGTCTGTGGTCTATAACAGCATGTTAAATTTTTTTTTAAACCTTCCCAATGGTCATGTCTCTTTTTGATTGTTGGCTTCAACATTTGTAATTGCATTTTCCCCGAAAACGCATTAAAAATGGATTCTATCATTCGTGTTCTATGCATTGTTCTTGTTCTTTGTTATCTCAAATTCTTTTCGTTCTGTATTAGCCCTGTATACATTATTGTGTTTGCTAATTTTTTCTGTATCTAAAACACAGCACGGTCTTAAAATAAATCTGATTCAATTTAGCAAAAGCACGTACAAATAGTAAATGCAGATGTTTTCCTATTATAAATTTTGGAGAAATACCCGGTATTTTCCTTAGAATGTAAAATGTCAAAATTCTCAATCACTTTTTAAAAACTTATTCCACAGAATCTACACGCAATTTCGATTCAAACTAAAAGGAAAATTTGCAATAACGGAAAAAATCCTCTACCGATAATTTTGATCCAAACGAAACGAAAAATTCGCAATAACGGAAAACATCCAATCTCCTCATGCAAAATTCTTCAAGTCCATTTTTTCCGCGTTTTTATTATTTAAAATCCTTCTCGCCGACGACGGCGACACGTCTCTTTCTCTTTGTTTTTAATGTCGCAATTCAATTAGAAAATAAAATCCGTGACACTAACGTCCATCGAGGAATTTTCTGTAAATCCTGTTTTTGTAAATTTAGTTAAACCAGGATTTTAAGACCCCTGAAATATGTTATGATCAATCTCAATCTACAATAGATCACAACAATAGCGGTTACATCCTCCACCTTATCCATAAAGACTGACTATCACTCGATTACGTCTACCCCGTTAAATTGTCATAACTAATCTGACTGAAATTTACGTTTTCCATTGAAATATATATGCGGATGCATATTCCCCATCGGGGCCTCAACTACGAAACTCTGGTGGAAGTTTGGATGCTGCAAAGTTATAATTCGGCGGGGCTATTTTTGATTGATCGTGTCACAAATCATTTAGAGAACTCGACAGGTTCTGTATCGTATATACAAATTTTGGGGTGGAGACGACTCGCGCTACGCACTCGTCCACCCTCAAAATTTGTATCCACGTTGAGACACGATAGCGATGTTTTTCTTTGAAGTTTACTGTTCTGTATTAGCAACACAGAACGGGACTGTGATGGGCGTAGCTAATTTCTGTTCTGTATTAGCCCTGTATACAGTACTGTATTTGCCAACTATTCTGTATCTTAATTACAGCACGGTATAAAAATAAATCTGATTCAATTTAGCAAAAGCATGTACAAATAGTAAATGCTTATGTTTTCCTATTATAAATTTTAATGAAATACCCGGTATTTTCCTGAGAATGTAAAATATCAAAATTTCTCAATCACTTTTTAAAAACTTATTCCACACAGAATCTACGCGTAATTTTGATCCAAAGTAAAAGAAAAATTCGCGATAACGGAAAACATACTCTGTACGTAATTTCGATCCCAACGAAACGGAAAATTCGCAATAACGAAAAACATCCACTCTCCTCGTGCAAAATCATTCAAGTCCATTTTTTCCGCGTTTTTATTATTTAAAATCCTTCTCGCCGACGACGGCCACTCGTCTCTTTTACTTCGTTTTTAATGTCGCAATTCAATTTGAAATTAAAATTCCGTGACATCAAAGTCCATCGAAGAATTTTCTGAAAATCCTGTTTTTGTAAATCTAGTTAAACCGGGATTTTAATACCCCTGAAATAAATTATGATAGATCTCCATCTACAATAGTTCACCTTTTATAGAAGCTTTAATTTTTCGATGTTCTGCAAATTATATAATCAGAGGTGTTCAAAGTAACACTGACAGAAGCTCTGGTGCGATTTTGCGAAACTACAGTGAGAAAAGGTAAATTATTCACGGAAATATGGCTAGGAAGTGACTTGCTCGTGGAAACATGGTAAACAAAAAAAAGTTAATGTAGCGTTTCAGATTCCATCACCCTATATTATCTGTAGAAATGTACTTTCTCATACATTCATACAAACTTTAACTATAGTCCTTTATAAAAATTATTTTTTGCAGTCATGGATTAAATTTCGTTATGAAAAACACACTTGCATTGGGATTAGGATTGTTGTTATTGGTGTCAAAATGGACAAGTATAATTTGCTTCAAACTATTAATACTTTCAAAACAGACATTGTTCTTTTATTTGCAGGAATGATCAACGTCTAATATACGAGGGTTGTCCGGTAAAATTGTGGACAAAGCGTTTATTTCGAAAAATAATGGACGCACTTAGAAGAAATTTCAGTAAATACTTAAGTGCATCATAAGTTTTTTTGATAAAATGTTGACAAAAATTAAACATAATAATGCTTGAATATGCACAGGGTAGGGTCCTACGGCGCACGGTAAAAGAACCATGATTTTATCAGGGAACACACAAGTATTGATTCGAAATAAAGAATTTAAATACATAAGATTGTGATAAAAAGTATCCTAATTTGATTCTACAATCTATTTTGTCGAATTTCTAAAAAATTCAATGCATTTGGTTAATTTTTGGCAGTTTCCTGGGAAAATGGTTAACACAACCCACACAAAATGGCGACGTTTGATGACGTAACGGTGCACCGGAGAGCATTTCAGTGTGATTGAAATGCTGCTATGACACCTTAAGAGACTTAAATAAATACAGAAGAAAAAAATAAAAAATAATACCAGATCATTAGTGTACAAATGAAATTTGAGTTTTCTTAGTTGCTTAACTTACTATTTAATCTTCAGAAGATCAAATATGTGTGTCAGATTAGTTACAAAACTGTTTATGGGGACTCAAATCTGCGCATCAGTGAAATTCCTAAATTTAAGTGGGACTTATCAAACTTTATTGTTGCATAGATGTAAAACTGTGACGCTGTTTTAGACACTTTGACGTTATCGTTATACTTTACATATGTTTCTCTCATGACAAAGCCTTCCCCTGGGAACTATTAATGTGACCCTTTGGCCATGAAGATTGACCCCCTTTTAGAAAACTTTGAGCTTGCCCATACCTTTTGATTGTTTGATTGGCTTTTATATTTCACAGGTATACTGTAAATGTATTACATTTGACGTGTACGATATTTTGTGAAAATTTTATTTTCAACAAGTTAGTTTAGATTTTTTTTTAGCGCTGTCTGAATTTGTAAGCTATAAAAGTTAATATACAAGACATTTAGCGATGGACTTGAATTAGCAGACTCAGCTTTCCACCAAAATTGCTAAAACAGAAACCAGCCTCCTTATAAATATTGTTTCTTTACCCTCTCCCGACTCAGGATTAAAATGGACGGTAGGTAGGTGTGAAATTTTTTGCTTAGAAAACTTCAACATCTATTTTCCGAAATGCATTAAAAATTGTTTTTAATATGGAGGTTATAATGCCTCGGTCGGGAGAAGGCAAACAAATATATATATATATATATTTTAAAAAAGATGACTTTTGCATTTATTATTACATATTGATATTAAATTATTTTAAGACAATAGATCTATTTCTTCCTTCCATGGCGATTTTAACAAAAGGTTATTACTTTTCCTTCAGATCTATTGTTTAAATTTTTATAGATTTACAAAGGCAAGTGGACTGTATAAAGAAAGATGTTTGAATGGTAAGTCATAAACACACAGAAAAGTAAAAGGATCAAATCAAAAGGATCCAATGGTAGCATAAATTTTATATCATTATTTCAAGATTTTTTTAATCTTCCAAAATATCAATATTCTACGGAAGCATATTGCAGCCAGTTGAACATATGTTTTACTATGTCTTACGTACAAGATAGGTCGTTCATTATAAAACATATTTTTAATCATGATAATGTTATATAATATATATATTAATTTTTAAAAATATATATAGTACAAAATACTATGTTTTCATTACGATAAAAAATGTGATATGTAAAAAACTAGATACAAAGTCCTACCTAGTCAGAGGTACGACATAATAGAGGGTTTTAGCAAGCTTGTTTGTGTACATGTACGTGTAAATTACAATCTAGAATTACATGTTAATATTATTTTTATTGTTTAGCAAATGATTTCCCGTAAGGCACTTGCAATTGTTTTAAATACAAGTGTTCACCATAGAATTTTGTTTCAAAAACCTGAATTTTAATATGTATATCCTAATTTATATAAATATATGCATATACGAGGGTTAATCCAAAAGTAATGTCACTGTGTCCATATCTTTAATATTTGGCGTCATATTATCAAATATAATATACCAAAAGATGCACAAAAATAAACATATACGTGGACGAGTTGCAAATTTATCGAAGTTGTGACATTACTTTTGGATCAACCCTCGTACTAGTATTTATGAGAACTAGCTTGAAAACAGCTCAATAACTAAGTTGAAGTTATCATTTGAATCCGTCAAAGCCAGTTTTGAAATTCTAGATGTTGTATATTCTTCACTATATTATATAATGTTTTTCAATTGTAGACATTTTATTGTCTATATCAGTATTTGTAACTTTAGGTTTTAGAAAAAAAACACGCTTAAAAAATTAACATCAGTTAAAGAAATAAAAGCTACAAGATTGGACTTACGCGTACTTTGCAATCTACACGTGTTGAAATTCGTCATTTACAAAAATTGTAATTCTAACTTGTAGTTTACACTTACAAGTAACCTTGCCAAACCTCTCTACATCGTACATACGACTTACCATGTCATTATGACGACTAATTATGTCGTACGTACGACTTAGTATCTCGTTATCGCGACTTAGCTGGTACAACTTAGTAACTCTCGTTCTTATTAACCACTCATTGCATGTTTTTTTTATATGACTTAATATTTTGTAACTCGAACGACAAGTCAAAAATATATTTTTAACTGGCAGCAATACGCTTCCGTAATATCCCAAGA